CTTCATCTCTAACAGCTCCGTTTGATTCTTTTTAGGTATGTATTTCTTCTTTCAAATCGTGGAAGAACTTCCTCAGCTCCTGGAACTCATTGTCTCTTTTCTCCTGCATCTTCTGGAGCTCGTTGTCTCTCATCTCTTGCATCTCGTTTAGTTTGGCCACTGAATATTCTGAAGTCTCTATCAGATGTCCCCACGAGCCCCACTGTGCTGCCTGTGATGATGAGAGCTGTTCTTTTCCCTTGGGGGAGAGAGGTTTTCTTGGTTCCTCATATTTCTTGTGCCTCTGCAGTGGTTTCTGGTCATCTGGTGGATTTTACATTTCCTCCTAATCCTGGAGTTAATTCTGAGCACTCAGAGGTGTGCAGGAAGACGTGACCCACAACCTCTCTGCAGTTCTGTCTCCCTGATTCTCACCAAGCAACTTACGCTTTTGTCATTGGAGCTGGACATTATAAAGGCCTCCCAGTCTCTAGAGAGCAGGTGCACCTGGGCCGACAGTTCAGAGGTGTGTGGGAGGAGACGAGCCAGTGTCTTCCCTGATTTCAGTCATTCCGCGGTGTTTTCACATTTGGCTCATTTGCTGGAGAAGGTGTCTGCACCTGTAAGCTCCTGTGCTTCCCTTCCTGTGAGGGCCTCCTGTGCCAGCCTCTCTCCTCTCTCCTCTACTGTGGAGAGACTGAATGTGCTGTCCGCACAGAGATTTGAGTTCAGATTAATGAAGAAGAATTTCTCCTTTGGGGCAGCAGGTCCAATGAGGTTGAGGATTTCTATGACCCTGTCTAGATTTTTGGGTCAGGAAGGAGAGGTTTGGAGCAGAGGGTCTTCAGTTCCTTAGGGTTTTTTTATTTCTTTTTTTTGGGAGAGGTTTTGCTATAGGGCGCGTGCGCTGGCCAGACAGACAGAGAGAGACAGAGAGACAGAAAGTGAGAAATCAGTCCCCAGGAGAATGGCCACGCCGCAATCCCTTCTCCATTCTCCTCTCGGGATTTTTGGCATGTACACATGAGCCTGGCATGGTGACAAGCCACTGAGTCCGGGACTCGAACCGCGGTCGACTACGTGGGAGTCCAGCAACATAGCCATTAGGCTAACTGCTAGTCCCCCCCTTAGAGTTTTTTTAAAAGAGATTTTTCTGCTATAGAGTGCTTGCACTTGCCAGAGAGACAGACAGTGAGAAATCACCCCCTAGGGGCTGGCCACACAGCAGTCCCTTCCCCCATTCTCCTCTCAGGATTTTGGGCACATGTGCACACACTCCCAGTGTGAGTTTCAAGCCGCTCGATCCAGGACTCAGACCGCAGGCAACTATGTGGAAGTCCAGCGACGTAACCGTTATGCAGTCTCCTGGTCCCAGATTTCTTAGTTCTTCCTGTGTTTTCTCTTCCCAAGACCCCCTTCCAGGAGCCACAGCACACCTCCTTGTATGATGGTCTTCTTGCGCTCTTGACTGACAATTTCCCCAGCCCTCCTCGGTTTCGATGACTTGGACAGTGTTGAGGAGTTTGGTTCAGTAGGGTGGCACTGAAATTTGGAAGTCTGGATCCTCCCACTTTGTTCTTTTTCAAGATTGTTTTAAATCATCTAGTACTCTTGCATTTCCAAATGAATGGTAGGGTCATCTTTTCCATTTCTGCAAAGATACGAGGTAGAATTTTAATAGAAAATACATAGAATCTATAGATCAATTTTAGGAGTATTGTCCCAGCAATATAATATCTTTCAATCCACGAATGTGGGATGTCCATTCATTTGAGTTTTAATTCCTTTCCATGACATTTTGTAGTTTTCAGAGGATGAGTTTTATACTCTTTGTTAATTGATTCCCAAGTATTTTATTCATTTCAGTGCTATCGTAAATGGAATTCTTTTCCTAATTTCTGGTTTGCTCATTAGTAGTTTATAGAAATACAATTTACTGGGACTAGCAGTTAGCGTAATGGCTATGTCGCTGGACTCCCACGTAGTTGACCGCGGTTCGCGTCCCAAACCCGGTGGCTTAGAACTCACGCCGGGCACGTGTGCGCCTAAGATCCCGAGAGGAGAATGGAGAAGGGATTGCGGCGTGGCCATTCTCCTGGGGACTGATTTCTCACTTTCTGTCTCTCTGTCTCTCTCTGTCTGTCTGGCCAGCGCACGCGCCCTATAGCAAAACCTCTCCCAAAAAAAAGAAATACAATTTACTTTTGTTACTAAATCCTGTGTCCAGCAACCTTACTAAACTTGCTTAGAGCTCTAATAATTGCATGTAGTTTTTTTAGAGGGGTGTGTGTGTTTCCTAGGCTTCTTCTATGTAGAAGAACCTGTGATCTACCAGTAGGGATAGTTTTACCTCTTCCCTTCCAGTCGAGACTCCTTGTACTTCCTTGTCTTGCGTAACTGTCCTGGCTCGACGCTGGGGGACAGTGTGTGGGTGAGACCTTGTCATCTTCCTGCTTGGGGGGGAAGCATTCCGTCTTTCTCATGAAATGTGTGAAGTTCCATGAGTGACCTTATAGGTGGAGGAAGTTCTGTCGTAGTCCTAATTTGTTAACGTTTTAATTATGAAAGATTGGTTGGTTTTGTCAGGTGCTTTTTCTGCATCAAGTAGAATGATGAGGAACCGGCAGATGGCGTAATGGTTACGTCGCTGGACTCCCACGTAGTCAACCATGATTTGAGTCCTAGAGATTCAGTCCTGGACCAGTTTAAAACTCACGCTGGGAGCTTGTGTCTGCATGTCCGAGGTCCCAAGAGAGAAGAAGGGATTGCGGTGTGGCCATCCCCCCTGGGGGTAGTTTCTCGCTTTCTGTCTCTGTCTCCTTCTGTGTCTCTGGCAAGTGCATATGTTCTATAGCAAATATCTTTCTAAAAAAATTAATAATAGGGACCAGCAGTTAGTGTAATGGCTATGTTGCTGGACTCCCCATGTAGTCGACCATGATTCGAGTCCCGGACTCGGCGGCTCAAACTCACACCAGGCACATGTGCGTGTGTGCCCAAGATCCTGAGAGGAGAATGGAGGAGAAGGGATTGCGGTGTGACCATCCCCCTGGGGGGTGATTTACCGCTGTCTCTCTCTGTCTTTCTGGCGAGCACATGCGCCCTATAGCAAAAACCTCTCCCCATCCCCCCAAAATATATAAATAAATAAAATGATGATATGGAGAGTTTTCCCCTTTATTAATAGAGTGTATGATATTGGTTGGTTTTCTTGTGTCCACCCTATCTTGTACTCCCAGGTTAAATCCCCCTCTGTTGTGGTATATGACCCTTTTTACATACTGTTAGGTTCCATTTCCAGGTATTTCGTCTAGGATTTTTACATCCATGTGCATAATAGGTACTGGCCTGTAATTTTCCTAGAACATTTTTTTTTGGTTTTAGCATCAGGGTTAGTTAAGATTTCTGTGGTGCTTTCTGATCTGACAGGGGTTAAGGTCCCTGCCGTCTGCCTGCGGGGTTCTCCACCGTAGAGTGGCACTTCCCTGCTCTTCCGTCCTGTGCCCTCTGGGAGGCCTCCTCACAGCTCACACTCAAGGAGGGGTGAGCTCCTCCTGCCGCACGGAGCACCTGTGCAGGAGCGGGTTCTGCTGCACGGTTTCCAGCGTCCGGCCTTTGTTCATGTCACCACGGACACCAGCTGTTTGTCTTACACTCGGTTACATCCCAGTACTGCTTTACTGACTGCTGCTCAGGTTGTTTTGGCCACTGGGAGCGCTTGTGTGTTCTGTCCCACTCTGACATGTTCCCACCGCGGTGGATCTCAGCCTGCTTCTCCAAACACCGCTGACGTCCTGGCACTCTGCGACGCCCTAGCTCACCCTGGACATGCCGTGCCCGAGCCCTGGGACTGTGGTCCTCTCACTGTGGAGTGTTGGAAACCGAGAGCTGGGCACCGGGCGTGCTCATTGCTCCCGGGCTGTGGCCGCTCGGCCTTCTCAGCGGCAGAGCACAGGCTCGTGTGTGAGCGTGTACGCGCATTGGCCGCGTCGGTGCACGTAGCTGTAGCTGCACACAGCTGTAGCTGCACACAGCAGCCGTCCCCATCTCCTTCCCTCTCCGAGGGTCGCGGGTCTCGGTGCCCGCTGCTAAGATGGACTGTCGTGACCTCAGCCTCAGCCTGTCCGAGCAGGTGCCCCAGGGTGAGCTCGATGCTGGGACGAGAGCTATCGTCTCCAGCTGCACTTAGGGCTTCAGGGCCTGAGCGTGCAGGGGGCACGTGGACCTGGCCTGGGACAAGGTCCTGCCTTGGCGTGTCTGAACCTCAGTCCTGCTGGTTACCGGGGTGCACGGTCTGCAAGCCCTTGTCAGACCCACTGTGCTGGCAGCAGCTACAGCCCACTCTGACTGCGGCAGGTCACACTGCGGGACAAGGCACTGCTTGGCCGTGGTCATGGGTACAGGGGCTCTGAGTTCCACCTGCCACAGACCAATCAGACCACATCTCGTCTACCATGGCGCCAGGCTGAGCTCATGGGGTGGCCGGCCTTTTCCACTTCATCACCTGTCCTCGGCGTGGCTGGTCCCCCCCTGCCTGGACATCTGTGTGCTCTCACCTCACTGTCCCTTCTCCCGGCCTCCAAGCCTCCCAGTCCTTGTTCTTTGGCTGGTTGCCAGAAGGACGAGCGAGGGCACTGTGTGGGGGACCCCTCTTCTGCTGAGGCACGCCCCCAGATCTGTGTTGTACTGTAGCTGGGGAAGGGCCGTGTGCTTGTCCTGAAGCCCCGGGGACAGTGGTGGTGTCACAGGGGCAAAGGAGATTCCCCTGTGAGGGAGTCTCACCTGAACCCGTGCCTCTCCTAGAAGGTGCACCTGCCCGCCTCCCCTGGGGTGAGCAGAGTGCTGGGCATTACGGCCTGCACTCAGCTGCCTCGGAGGGCCCAGGACCCCCAGACCTCCAGTTCTGGCACGTGAGGGGGCGCCGAGACGGTCCGTGTGGTTGGCCGAGGTGTGTGTCCTGCAAACCCACCGTCCACGCTGCCACCCCAGCCTCTGTCCCTAACATGGCGTTGGCCCTGCAGACCGTCCAGGACGGCCGACAGTTCCTGAAGTACGTCGACCCCAAGCTGGGGGTCCCACTGCCTGAGAGAGACTACGGGGGAAACTGCCTCATCTATGACCCTGACAATAAGACCGACCCCTTCCACAACGTCTGGGTAAGGGAACAGAGTCCCGACGGCGTGGGGCCAGGCATAGCAGGCACCCCTCTGGGTTCCGTGGGGCAGGGTGCCCACACACAGGGTCTTCTCCTGGGCTAGACTTGTTCCCAACCCTGCTTGGTTCAGAGGGGCCTCGTCAGAGGGGGCACCCTCCTTCCCATCACCTGGGCTGTTGTCTGCACATTCCCACCACAACACAGGTGTGCAGCCCTGGCCTTGCCACGGGTCAGGAGGCGCTGCTCAGGTGTCAGCACCACACGCTGGGTGGGCACTGCCCAGACCTCTGGGCGAGGGACTTGGAGGTCCCAGATGACCTGCCCATGATGGTGGGGAGTGAGGAGCTGCCAGGGCGGGATGGGCAGGGCCGTGGGGCTGTGCCGAGCACCACCCTGTCGCCCACAGGACAAACTGGATGGCTTCGTGCCGGCACACTTTCTCGGCTGGTACCTGAAGGTATGGCAGCCTCTGCATCTAACCCCACCTGGGCCTTGAGCCTCCCTGCCTTCTGGGCCCTGTCTGGCCATGTGGCCAGCTGTCACTGTGCGCTGAGTGTGGTGGACAGGTGGGCCTTGGCAGCAGCTCACCTCACCTTCCCAGAGGGAGCCCTTTCTCTGCCCCAGCATTGCCGTGGTCGGGGAAGAAAGCGGGTGGGACATGAGGCTGGAGACCCCGTCCCAGCCCGAGCTCGGGAACCACCCCCGTCCCACTTCCCAAGGCCGCGTGCGGCGCCCAGCTCTGTACCCCTGCCTAGCATCTGCTGGCTCTCTGCCTTGGCTGGCCGGAGGAGGGACCAGGCCCCCTCAGAGCTCAGGGTTCAGGTCCTCGGCAAGTGGGCACCTCCTCCCTGGCCGAAAGCCTTGAAAGCGAGGTTCCTGGAGGGCAGCCGCCCACCTGCACGCCCTGGGCCTTGCTGGGGAGGGCGTCCTGCCAGCACTGTAGTGCATTCACCTATGGGCGAGGCTCTCGAGCCGGGGCACCGGGCGCCTGTGCAGAGCCAGCTGGCACACCCGCTCGGGCCCTGGGTCACGTGCTGCCCTGCAGACCCTGATGATCCGCGACTGGTGGATGTGCATGATCGTGAGCGTGATGTTCGAGTTCCTGGAGTACAGCCTGGAGCACCAGCTGCCCAACTTCAGCGAGTGCTGGTGGGACCACGTAGGTGCCGTGCAGTCCGCGAGGGCGAGGGCTGGCCTGTCCTGGGGCTCCCCGCCGGGTGGGCTCCCCTCCCACCACCTGGCTTCCCCCCAGTGGATCATGGATGTGCTCGTCTGCAACGGGCTGGGCATCTACTGTGGCATGAAGACCCTCGAGTGGCTGTCCCTGAAGACGTACAAGTGGCAGGGCCTCTGGAACATTCCAACCTACAAGTACGTCTCGGGAGGGTGACTGTGGGCTTGCCTCCTGGACGCCCCACCCTGGCCTAGACCCACCCGGGTGGCCCGCAGCTCTCCAACGCCGGTTCTCGCCGTGCCTCTCCTTCCCCTGGCCGTCTTCCGTTGCAAGTAGCTACAGGCGTTCTGTCGTTTTTACTCCAGAATTTAAAGGGAACACAACCAAGAATCTAAAAAGACTGGGTGTGTCCCCTCCTTGGGCTCGTGGAGAGCCCTCCCTGCAGGGGGCAGAGGGACTCAGTATTTCTGAGGAGTCCCTGGGGAGAGTGGCCACAGGCAGGGCAGGGCGAGATTGAGGCCGCGGCCCTGCTGTCCCTAGGGGCAAGATGAAGAGGATCGTCTTCCAGTTCACGCCCTACAGCTGGGTGCGCTTCGAGTGGAAGCCGGCCTCCAGCCTGCGCCGCTGGCTGGCCGTGTGCGGCATCATCCTGGTGGTAAGGCGGGGCCTCGGGGGGTGCGGCCGCGGGCGCCGGTCTCGGGCTCACCTCTCCCGTACCCTAGTTCCTGCTGGCGGAACTGAACACCTTCTACCTGAAGTTCGTGCTGTGGATGCCCCCCGAGCACTACCTGGTGCTGCTGCGCTTGGTCTTCTTCGTGAATGTGGGCGGCGTGGCCATGCGCGAGATCTACGACTTCATGGACGACCCGTGAGCTGGGGGAGCAGGCAGTCCCGGGGGGAGGACCTCGGGGCTGGGAGAGCCGCCCTAGCTGCCACCCCCCCTACAGGAAGCCCCACAAGAAGCTGGGCCCACAGGCCTGGCTGGTGGCGGCCATCACAGTCACAGAGCTGCTGATCGTGGTGAAGTACGACCCCCACACGCTCACCCTGTCCCTGCCCTTCTACATCTCCCAGTGCTGGACGCTCGGCTCCGTCCTGGTGCTCACCTGGACCATCTGGCGCTTCTTCCTACGGTCAGCGCAGGGCGGGGCTGGGGGTGGGTTTCATGACGTTGGCTTCTGGGTGGCCTCTCCTCCCCTTTCCCCTTTGCTGGCTCCCAGCTGCTGTGCGGGTGGCAGGGGCCAGTCACCTTCCCGTAAGGCAGCCCGCCTGGGCCCTCCTGAGCCCTGCAGGCTCCCGTGCTGCTGGTGCTCTGGCTCTGCACCGATGGGTCCGGGCTCCTGAGAGCTCACCACGGCCTGGCCTGCCCGTGCTGGCGCCCAGGGACGCCGGGGCTCTGCTCCCGCCCAGCCGTCCTAGAGCCACAGCCCGAGTGACTTCCACAGGGACGAAGGTGCTGGGGTGTCCATGGGCTCGTGCTGGGGCTGGTGTAGGAGCCGGTGGTGACGAGTCCCCCGTGTCCCCACCTCCCCAGGGACATCACCTTGAGGTACAAGGAGACCCGGCGGCAGAAGCAGCAGAGCAGGGGTGACCAAGGCAGAGCCGTTGGCACTGGGGACGGGCACCCAGCCGTGCTGGACGATGAGCTGCTGGAGCCTGGGGTGGCCGAGAAGGAGGGGGCATCTGCTCCAAACCGACCTGTGCCTTGGCCCCAGTGAGCCTCCAGGACCGAGGCCGCACTGCCCTGTGGCTGCTGCTCGGAGCCTTCCTTCCAACAGGCCTGTCCTCGAGGTTTCATTTCCTTTGCTCTGTGCACACGGCTGGGCTCCAGTGGAGGCGGGGAAGGCAGCCCCGGCCCAGCCACAACTCCATGTGTGTGTGTGTGTGTGTGTGTGTGCGCGCGTGCGTGTGTCTGTCTGGGTGTGTGCACACTGTACGTGTGTGCTCTTGGAGCCTGAGGTTTCTCCACAGCCGTGAGCTGGCCAGTGTGCTGGGGCCTTTTCGGGCAGCTGGTGCCTCTGGAGCGAAGGCCCTGGCCTTCCCGCCTGCCTGGTCAGCCCAGCGGCCTCCGACCCGAGGGCCCTTCTCACTCAGCCGCCGCACAGCGAGGCAGAGGCGTCCTGGCTGTCCCGAGGCAGCGCAGCGAGCTGGCAGAGCCCTGGGACATCAGCCCCTGGTGGCACTCGTGAGGGGCAGTCCTCTGCGACCAGGATGGCTGAGCAGTGGTGGACTTGGGGCTGGGGTAACAAGCCTGAGCCATTTCCCAGAGCCTCCGTTTCACAGACTAGCCTGGAGGGCGTGGGGACCGGGTCGGAGGTCACTGCACTGGCCCTCGAGGGGCGCCAGATGGAAACTCCAAGACCCAGGAGCCTGTGAGCCGGTGCTGGGGTCGCGTTGTCTGTACGGCTGAGTCCAGAGCCTTCTCCATGAGGACATGGGACAAATAAAGTGCTGACACGGAGGTCCGCAGCTTCCAGCCCAGCTCCCCGAGCTCCGCCCCTGCCCGCGTCACCCAGCACCTGGCCCTCCGCTCCCTGGGTCCAGGATACAGCCCGAGGATGGGCCTCAGCCTCTTCCTGCTGGAGCCGAGCTGAGCCGAGCGCAGGGAGGAGCAAGGCCTAGCCCTCCCTGGTCTGAGTCCAGCAGGCAGAGCTGCTCAGTGCGACACGTCCTGGGCAGAGCGCCTGTCAGGCTCGCGTGGCAGGGCAAGGGCTGTCCCTCCCTAAACTAGCCGCAATCCCAACAGGCCGTAAGGGCACCATTCCCCCGTCCCCCAACACGGTCCACGCATTGTAGGGGACTTTCACAAAGAACTTCCTCCCAGGTTCCCGTGCCACTCCGCCTGCCGCCTCGCCCGCACGGGGTGAAGCTCCATCGTTCCTCGTTGAGGGCACAGGGGGGCGGTGGCCACCTCAATCACTGCCAGCAGGGAGGGACCGAGCCCCCAGGACGAGTGCCAACTGCATCCTGCCTGGCCTGCGTGGGGAGAAGCTACAGCGGGCTTGTCTCTAGTTTCTTCCCTTCAGTGTTTGAGAATGTTGATCCCCTGGAAGTTGGGGGTGCTAGAAGGTGGAGTACCCTCAAGATCTTCTTGTGGCAGCTTCGGACCTTGCGTTGGGCCAGTACCTCTTTTTTTTAAGGTTTCCCTGTCTCACCGGAGACAGGGAAAGTGAGAAATCACCCCCTGGGGGGATGGCCATGCCGCAGTCGTTTCTCCTGGGATTTTGGGCACACAGGCTCACCCGGTTTTTTTCAAGCCACGAGGTCCAGGACTCTAGCCGTGTGGGAGTCCAGTGATGTAACCACTATGTCACCACTGGCCCTGGGTCAGCCCTTGAGCAGCCTCTGTGACATAACTTCCCTGCCTTCGCTCCTGCGGGCCTTGACGGCTGGTCCCCCCTGCACATTTGCTGCAGTGCCCCAGGTGACATGCAGGTGGTGGCTGGGACCCCGGACCTCCTGCCGCTCTGCCACAGGGATGGCTTCCCTTGCACACGGTACTGTGAGGGCACCCTGTCCCGTGGCTAGCTTCCTCAGTGACAGAGCTGCTGGGTTAGTGGGTGGAGTGTCCTGCTTGTCATTACTCCTCTGTCGAGGTCACTCCTCTGGTCATGGCTTCTGCTTTGGAGAGGACAGTCCACACCCTGGTTCGCTCCGTGGGTTGTCGTGGGCATTCTGCCTCCTCCCAGCCAGGGTTTGCTATGTGACATGCCCGTGCTCACCTTACGCATCCCTCGCCCCAGACCTCGAGTCCGCTTCCCCAGGGAACTGTTTCCTCTGGGTGGAGGACCGGACCGTACTTAGAGACGAAGACCCTGGGGTGGGGAGTGCCCACAGGCCATGCTGAGCAGCACCCCTCCAGACTGAAGGCAGGGGCAGGTCACTGCTGGCCGGCCCCCACATCCCACACACAGGGTTGCAGGCAGCTGATGTGGCATCAGGCTCTGGGCAGGACCTTGGGCTGGCTCGGAGGGAGTCGTCTCCATAGGGAGCACCTGGGGCCCAGAGCTGCAGGGCTGGAGCTCGTGCTCGGCACCAGGCGGGCAGTGGGCTTTGCTTTTAGGACACAGGAGATGGCGAAGGTGCTGCCCCAGGGAAGCGACCGGGGTGGGGCAGCAGCCCACAGCCTGAGGTGGGACCCCAGCAGAAGACCCAGCTGTGCACACTGTGACTCTTGTCGGGGCTGTGGTGCCATGAGGCACTTAAGGAGCAAGAGGACACTGGCATGAAACACCGCACCTCTGAAATCGGCGGGCCGCGGGCACTCCACAAGAAAGACAAGGATCCCACTTGACAAAACAGTGCTTTAATAATCACAAAGTGTGTAAAATTATTTGCAGCAATAACTTGATTTGAGCATTTCTCTTCAAAGTTAGGTCACGCAGAGACTCCCTCCCCAGAGGCCGGGGCAGTCCCCGTGATGGGTAGACCAAGGTCAGGCCTGTCCAGGAGCCTGGTGGGCATGGAGGTGCCTCAGGAGATGATCCGCAGGGAAGGCTTCTGTCCTTCCAGGATCTTCAGCTGCCTGTCCATCTCCTCGGTCCAGTAGATGTCGTACAGGCTGTGGATGAGCAGGGAAGGGGCACAGGCCGGGACCTCAGCACCCCTCCCACCTCCCCGCCTCCCTCCCGGCCACCCCCCCCTCGCACTCCCACTCACACCAGCTGCTCCAGTGCGCAGCCCGGTTGCCGGAGGCTCTCTATCAGCTGCTGGATGCCGAGGTCCCCCATGCAGTTGTTGCTGAGGTCCAGCTCACGCAGGCTGCGGCTGGCCAGCAGGACCGAGGCAAGGGTGCTGCAGCCGTCGTCACTGACCTCGCAGTCCCCCAGCCTGACGGAGAGCCGGCACGTCAGGCCTGGCACCGCAGCTGGGTGCCAGCCCATGACCCTGAAGTAACTGCACACTCCCCAGTATCTGCCCGGGCAGCTTTTATCTCAAGGGCCCTCTGCGTTCTTGAACACCAGGGGCCCCAGGCACATGTCCCCACCAAAGGCGGGAGGGCACAGAGCTTCCCAGCTGTGACAGCAAGCAAGGACGGGCCTGAGACCTGCAATCTTGGATGAGGGACCCAACTTCCCCCGGCCATGGTGGGGCACCAGAAAGCCTGCAGGGAGCAGGGGCAGCCGACGGGGAAGGACAAGAGGCAGAGCAGCAGGTGCAAGGTGTCCCCCCGCAGCACTGAGGCCTGGTTGGTGGACTGCAGAGGAGGGGCCAGCCGCAGGTGAAGGGGCAGCTCAGGAGCCCGAGATGCAGAGGGGAGGGGGGCACGGTGAACAAAGGTTCCCAGGCAACAGGACCATCGGTACAGGCCAAAGGGTCTAGAGAAGTGCTGGCTCACATCTGCCCCTTGAGGCCTGAGGCCGCGGGGAGCCCCCAGTGGTGCTTCAGAAGGCCAAGTGTGGCCATGCTGTAGACAGCCAGGGATGGCGTGGTGTGCTGGCCTCCAGAGTGGGGGCCAGGGGAGCTACTGGACCCAGGCCCCCTTTCTCCACCTAGCTCCCAGAATGCCCCCCAAGGCCCTGGCAGGCAGGAGAGTGTCCCCTGAGCAGGAAACTGGAAGACTGGTGCCTAGAAGACCTCGGCAGACTTGCACGATGGTTGGCCCAGCTGCCCAGAGATCCTTGGTCCACCCTAAGCAATGCCCAGCCCAGGAAGACCAGGCACCCAAGGAAAATCACGAGATACCCGAGCACAGAAATGACCCAGTAGGAGAGTGAGAACCTTCTCAAGAACAGAACGTAAGGGGAGAAGAAAACAGGGAAGGTGGAACTGAGGAGATGGCCAGGCCATGAGACCGAACACCACACTGGTAAGCACTGCACCAGAGGAAGGCGGAGGGACCGTCCAGGACCACACCGAGGAGCCAGGCACGGCTGAAGCCCGAAAAGCAGATGGGCTTTGTTACCTGACCTCTGACTTTGATCCAAGTCAGTGGGGTGCCCCTAGCTCACACTTACCAGAGAACCCTCAGGGTGGAGCTGGGCTGGCTCAGGCCCTGGCAGAGCTGCTGCACCCCTGCGTCCCCCAGCTTGTTGCTGCTGATCTGCAGTTCCTGGAGTGACTTGTTCTGGGCCAGCACCGAGCTGAAGTGGGGGCAGCAGGTAGCCGTGAGGCAGCAGGACTTCACCCTGTGGACACAGATAAAGACTGAGGTCTGGCCAGGACCCACACCAGGCAACCCCGGGACCCAGGCTGGCCCTGCCACAAGTCCTAATGGAGAGCCTCATGGACTTGGGCAGGCATGTCCCCCACACGCTTCCTGCCTTGTGGGCAGCTCACCCGTCACCTTCCTTCCCTGGCTCCAGCACTGTCCCCATCAGCCACATCCTGCCCCCTTGGCCTGTGGATCTAGAATCTCGAGGGTCAGAGCCGAGCCTAACCACCACTAGCGTCTCCCACGCCTCACTCGTGTCCCGCCGGTCGTTTCGACCCTGTGCCCAGGCCACACTCACCACAGCGACTGCAGCTGGCAGGCGGGGTCCAGCAGGCTCTCACACAGCAGCCGGGCCCCCTCGTCACCCAGCTCGTTGCCAGCCAGGCTGAGCTCCTTCAGGCTGCCCTTGGCCCTGAGGACCTGGCACAGGTGCCTGCAGCCCTCGGCGGTGATGCCGCACTCCCAGAGCCTGCGGGGCGGAGACGTTCTCAGAGGCGTCCCCTCCCCACATGGCCCAAGTCGGGCAGGCCCGGTTCCAGAAGGCAGACTCACCACAGGGTCTTGACCCTGGAGCTGGGACGGAGCAGCCCTGGGCACAGCTCTGCGATGCCCGCGTCGCCCAGGTCATTGCTGCCCAGGTCCACCTCCTGCAGCGAGGCCTCTGCCACGATGCCACACAGGTCCTTGCAGTTGGCCGGCGTGACACCACAGTTCTCCAGCCTGGGGACACCAAACGTGTCTGAGGAGAGCCCAGGACCCTGAGCGCAGGCACCCCTCCGCCTGCCCCGGCCCGGCGCGTACTTGAGCGTCTCCAGCTGGCAGGCGGAGTCTCTCAGGCCCTGGCACAGCACGCGGACGCCGGCCTCCCCGATGCCGTTGTTGCTCACCATGAGCTCCTTGAAGCCCGGCTTGGCCCAGAGCACGGCAGCCAGGGCCTCGCAGCTGGCGGCCGTCAGGTTGCAATACTCCAGTCTGGGTGGGCAGGAGGGCGGGCGGACCAGTCTTAGCCCCCGCCCAGGCAGGGATGCCGGCTGGCCGGGGGTAGCAAGGCACGGA